ATACACACATACATATACACACTTACATATACACATACATATATACACGTACTGTACATAAATATTGCCAAATAGTTGGACTGGTCTCTTGGATCAGGAACTCTATATTAAGGGAACTCTAGTGTGATATGCAAACGTAGAGTCTATCTTTTTAATATACGTCTTTGCTCTGCCCTTCCTTTTGGGGGTGGTCCCTCACAGAGAACCCAGAGGGGGGAGAGCAAAGGGAACGAGCCAAAAGTAGGGAGCCCAGGGAGAGTGAGGGGGCGAGGGAACAAAGCGCCGTGGGCAGAAAGATGTTTTTAAAAGTACATGAGCCGTTAGCTCCGGTTTGGAAAGAGAGAGAGTGACGGGTCGAGCGAGGGAGAGAGGACTCCCAATGCATTCTAAAGATGTCCTCAGAAGACCAGTGTGTGTGTGTGTTTGCACGTGTGTGAGAGGGTGTGAGAGAGGCTGTAGACCCAGGACTGAGGCTGTAGACCCAGGACTGAGGCTGTAGATCCAGGACTGAGGCTGTAGACCCAGGACTGAGGCTGTAGATCCAGGACTGAGGCTGTAGACCCAGGACTGAGGCTGTAGATCCAGGACTGAGGCTGTAGATCCAGGACTGAGGCTGTAGACCCAGGACTGAGGCTGTAGATCCAGGACTGAGGCTGTAGACCCAGGACTGAGGCTGTAGATCCAGGACTGAGGCTGTAGACCCAGGACTGAGGCTGTAGATCCAGGACTGAGGCTGTAGACCCAGGACTGAGGCTGTAGACCCAGGACTGAGGCTGTAGAACCAGGACTGAGGCTGTAGACCCAGGACTGAGGCTGTAGACCCAGGACTGAGGCTGTAGAACCAGGACTGAGGCTGTAGAACCAGGACTGAGGCTGTAGACCCAGGACTGAGGCTGTAGACCCAGGACTGAGGCTGTAGACCCAGGACTGAGGCTGTAGACCCAGGACTGAGGCTGTAGACCCAGGACTGAGGCTGTAGAACCAGGACTGAGGCTGTAGACCCAGGACTGAGGCTGTAGATCCAGGACCTCACTGCACACAGGTGACTCATTGTACATGTTTTTAGCGTCATGGCAAACTGCAGCACCTGGAGGAATCCTACACAGACACAGGGAGAACATGCATTTTAAAACACTACTTGTTAAAGGGGAAATTGTAAAATGTCGCCACGCCAATTAAGCAACTCCAATGAAAATATGATCTGTTTTGAATGGGCGAGTTCCATCCCAATCGATAACTAATTTTATGCTTGAAACCAATGAATAGAATGGATCAATGGATTCCGTTGACCCTGTTTTGACATGATTTTCAAGGACAAACACTGCTCTGTCTGTTTCCGCGGCAACAGAAGCCACGGCCAGGTTTTTGCTGAGTTGTTCCAGGACCTACCAGGACTCGTTGTAGTCCGGTAACCTCGCTCTGGTACCGCATTCTGGCAACGTACCCACAACAAACTAGTGTTCTGGGGAAATTCCTCGGTAACCATGGCTTCCAGCAGCACTCTGACCAATCACTGTCAGTTACACTTTAGTATCAGCTCGGCCTGGATAGAACCAGGACCAAGAGGGACTAAAGAAGGACATGGTACTGGACACACAGGACCAGACGAAACACTCCCATTCAGCGTTGAGTAGAGTAGAGTAGAGTAGAGTAGAGTAGAGTAGAGTAGAGTAGAGTAGAGTAGAGTAGAGTAGAGTAGAGTAGAGTAGAGTAGAGTAGAGTAGAGTAGAGTACTGAAAAGACTTGAAAAGAAAAAGCCGCGGTGGTGCAGTGGTTAGCTCTTCGGCTTCACCGCAACAATTGTGTTCATTGTATTTCAGTGGCGACATTATTCTCTTAAAAACTGAAGAAAAAAAAACATATTTGCTGATATTAAGGAAATAGTTTCTGTGCTACTTGATACAGCGAATATGAAATAAAAAAATAATCCATCTTGAATTCGAAGCAGGCCGATGACTTTATCCGGTGAGTGAGAGTTTGGGAAAGTGGACGTGAAAGGCGTGAGCAGAGTTTCCGGGCAGAGGCTGCGATGTGCCGGCTAAGCGTTCTTGGAAGTTATAAATAAATAAATATAATAAAACGGGGCCCAGACGTCTCCGGCGGCAACAGCAGCTCCTCACAAAGACTCATTCACTGCGTTAGCTTCACAGGACAATAACAAGCTAACAATAGAGAGCAGAGAGAGGCCATAGAGAAACCCGAGAGAGACCAGATAGAGACCAGAGAGAGACTAAAGAGAGACTAGAGAGAAACCCGAGAGAGACCAGAGAGAGACCAGAGAGAGACCAGAGAGAGACTAAAGAGAGACTAAAGACAGACCAGAGAGACTAGAGAGGAGAGAGAGACTAGAGAGAGTCCAGAGACAGACTAAAGAGAGACCAGAGAGACTAGCCTGGCCTTATCCATCCGTACACTCCGCTCAATCATCAATTTCACTGCATGTTGCGTCTGGGTCTGGTCCCAATCGGTTGAATTTCGACCGACCAACCAGCAAGCGCGGAAGGCAGGTGTTGTAGTTAGTTGTGGGTGACGTCAAGAGTCTGCGTCGAACGGTAAGGTCGTAGTTTGGCAATTGCGAAAAATGCGATTGTAAAGTAATCCGGTCTGGTTCTATCAAGAAATTGAAGCCGGAGCAAGAGGAATGTTTAGCAAATGTAATCGCTTGAAAAAATGTGGCGCTACTCCCCATGGGCTCCGTTAGCGGCAAAGAAGATGGCTAGGCTAAATGCTAAATTCAAACGACAGACTCGGGCGCATTACATACATCACGGTAAACTCAGATCCAATCGTTTCAATCTGCAAAAGGAGTTAACCCCTCCCACCTGTTAACGGAGCTCAATGGAGCACCTCCAGACCTTAGTACGAAATGTAATTTGTACTATGGTGTGGTACGACCAGGCTAGAGAGAGACCAGAGAGAGACTAGAACGAGACTAGAGGGAGACCAGAGAGAGACCAAAGAGAGAGTAGAGAGAGAGTGGAGAAAGACTAGAGAGTAGAGAGAGACTAGAAAGAGACCAGAGAGAGAGAAAGAGACTAGAGAGAGACCAGAGAGAGACTAAAGAGAGACTAAAGAGAGACAAGAGAGAGACAAGAGAGAGACAAGAGAGAGACCAGAGAGAGACTAAAGAGAGACTAAAGAGAGACAAGAGAGAGACTAGAGAGAGACCAGAGAAAGACCAGAGTGAGGTTTCAGTCCCAGTGTAGTGAATCTTCTCGTTTCTCTGTGACTGTGACTTGTTGGACACGACTGGAACAAGAAACTACAGCGATAGGAGCGACAGTGACGAATGTGTTTCTCTGCTGCACAAACAGACAGAGGCACAGAGGGGATCGCAACGACACAAAGGACACTCCAGCACCAGGCCCACGAGGACCGGCTGCTGAAGATCAGAGCGAGAGCAGAGAGAGGCCAGAGAAAGACTAGAGAGAGACTAGAAAAATACCAGCGAGAGACCACAAAATCCATAATCCCATACACAAAAATTGGGGTAACATTGAGGGACCAGAGAGGGACCAGAAATTTCATTGGGTCCACCCAGTTTGAAATACTCTCCCCGTTCCCTTTACTTTACGCCAGTCATCCACAGATAATATTACCCTGGCTTCAGGATACAGTGAGCCATGACGCATCTGTGGCGGCCATCTTCACAACCTGTCCTTGTTCAGGTTAATAGCACCATACCGATAGAAACCGAGAGAGACCATGAGAAATCCAAAGGCTTCGAGTGTAGAGGGAGAAGTCAGAGAGAGACCAGAGAGGGAGAAGTCAGAGAGAGAATTCCAGAGAGAATGAGAGACAGAAAGACCAGAGAAAGAAATAGTAGGACCAAGAACTAAATAGAACTAGTGAGTGATATGAGAAACTCACCTGTTATGGAATGTAACCAAGTGTAAATGATGATAGGTTGATATGTGATCAATAATGATATTTAATTTAAGTAAAGTAGTCAAGTGATAGAACAATATATGAGAAATAGATACTTGTTGTAAAGTTTACAAATGAGATAAAAAATACACATAAGATCTTCTAAGAGACAAAGAAAAGTCAGAGTGTTAACTAGTTAAGAGTAGTGTCACAAGAGTAGATGAAGATATGAACCTGTTTTAAGCTTGAAGTAAATGTAGAAAATTTTTAATATTATAATTTGTTAATTTGTAGGGATTAGCATAAGATTTAGGATAACAAATGGAAAAAATAAAAAAAAAAATAAATTAAAAGGGCGTATGAATTTTGCAGGATGGTGTGAGGTATGGGATAAAAGAAGGTGTAGAGTAGATGAAGTGGTGACTATATTGTGACGTTTTAGTGTTGGAGTTTGCAAAAAAGAGTTAAAGAAGGGTAAGGGGAAAAGGGGTGAGATGTGGGGTAAGGTGAATATGTAGAGGGGGGCGAGTGATGGAATAGTGTGGGGGTTTGAAATTATTTATTTGTTTCGTTTTTATTATGTTTTTTTATTTGTAATGTTATTTAGTGAGGTATTGTGTGTATTTTTTTTATGTGTGATTTTTTATTTTTTTTTATTTTTAATTTGTATGATATTGTGTAGTTTGAATTGTTAGTGTGTGTTAATTTTGTATTTTGTGTTAAATTGTATAGTTTTTTTTAATTATTTGATTTTTAAATTGTTTATAGTTTTTTTTAATTTTTTGGTGATTGTTAATTTGTTTAAATTTTTAATTTATGTGAATTGGTTAAATTTTGTGTAATTTTCTTAATGTTTTTTTGTGGTGGGGTGAGGGTGTATATAGAGGTGAAAATATGGAAGGGTATGGGGTGTTGATGGAGGGTGTTTGGGTTTTTTGAAGGTTGGGGGGTGGGGTGGGGGGGGGTGTAGATTTTGATAGTAAGTGGTTTAGTGTTGGATGGGTGAGGTGTGATTGATGGTAGGGTAGAGAGAGAGTGGGAGTGATTGTAGGAGAGATATGTGAGTTGAATGAAGGGGAAGGGGGTTGAGGTTGTATGTGGGTGAGGAGAGATTGAGGGGAAGATGGAGAAGT